GTTTATACCTTAATACTGTTATAAATAGAATTTTATTTATGGTGTATGTCTATATTTAGAGAGATTCTAGAGTTTATTACTTGGTGGCTAAGTCACCCTCTCCCTATAAATAGAGGGTTCTATTCCATTGTAATTCATCCCAAAATCAATAAGAATTTTCTCTCTCTTTTTCTCTGCAATACTCTTCTTCTTCTTTTATTGTTTCATAACACGTTATCAACACGAGACTCTAACCAATTGAGTAGAAGCTTTGGGATTTAGCATAATGATTGTTAATTATTCCATGAACTTCCTTCATGATTAAATTCTGGATTTAAGGTAAGTATTTTACCGTATTTTTCTCGTTTATTCTATACTTTGATTTTAAATACAGGCAAAGACAACAAAGTTTGATTATAACTCTAATGTAGTTTGTAAGAAATTATAACCACCTGAAGTGGTAAAAATTCTATGCCTCGCCATGATCAAATTCATGTATGATTGTGGGCAAAGAATTGAAAACCCGTCCCATTGAATTTGCTCCATTCTCATTCTCTTAAGAGAATGTGATAGCAGTATGTGATAAGTCTGAAAGAAGACAACATTATTACTATGAATGTATCAATGGATATGGACGTGGCAATAGACGAAATTATAATCGTCATCATTTGTGGTAATGAGAACAATAAGGATTCTCAAAATAATCTTTCACTCTGTGAAAAATATTTGTCATCGATTTGACATGAGATTTTGTAAAGCACATATAGATGATTATGGTCCAGTCATGATGTGAATGTGACAACATCTAATTTATGAATACATATTCATTCTTCAAAGAATATGAACGTGCTAGTGGTAGTGATATACCGCACTCACCTCTAAAAGAAGGTTTGAGATGATATAAGAAAATAATGTCATTATTATGGCATGAATGGTCATTGGTCACGTACCTATTGTACGCCAAAATATTTTGGCGTTGTGATTGTTAAAAGACAACGGTAATGCAAGAAACAGATCTTGCATATAATTTTGACCATAACCATAATGGTATAACTTTCTCTTTAAAAGAGATATTCACCATATGGGTGTTGATGAATATGTGGTACTACAAAATTAATTGAGAACTCTGCAATAGCCAATTATACTATTTGGGAGAAACGCAATTAATTACCAATAATGTATTGTGTTGTAGTAAGTCTCAAAGAAACTTATTCAATTTCTAAAGTATACGCGAAAGCGGTTGATTATATTGAGACTATAAATAAAGGAAAGATTTAATATCTTCTATTACTACAACTTGTAGCGGGGTAATATATATGTGAAAAGCTACCCGCTTTATTCTCCAATTTGTACTACATAAATAAAAGAATACCACAATGAAGTGGATATTTATTGATATAAAATCCCATATCATAATAAACTTGGAGTTTATTCATAATTGCACACATCATGGTGTAAACCTGAAGTTTATCAATATTGATAATTTATCCAGTTGGCATAATTGGTTTAGCCATGTTAATTCAAGTATGATGTGCAAAAATAAAAGAGAATTCACATGGGTAAATATTAAAGAACTAGAAAGTTCTTTACGAATTCTCTTACATTGCTTGTTCTCATTAATTAATAGACCAACTAAAATTGGGATTGAATCCCATGAATGCTGGAAATATCAAAGGTGAATATGGGCCCATTCACCTGCCATGTATACCACATAAGATGCATCTATGAGATGGTTACATGTGCGGTTATTAATAACCCGCAACATGGTGTTTGCGAGGTAACTTGCTCAATAATTTAATTTCGAGCATAATTTCCAGATTTTCTATTCAAGAAGTTCATCTTGATAAGTTGGTTTACATCACAGTTGGTTTAGCAAAATAATTTATTAAGTGCCTCTACTTAATAGCTAAACAATTGCTTATGAGAACAAAGTTTTATATACTAGTTTGATATACGTTATATACGAAAGTATATTAATTTCTCCCCTCATAGGTGGTTCATGATCAGGAACCAAATAATTCCACCTTATTATTATTGATGTGCGGTGTATATTTTGATTAACATCATAACGCACAAAGATGGGTTCTCAAAGTTGAGAAAACAAGTTAGTTTTTCTAACATGAGGGGGAGACATGATAAACAGTTGAGAAAATGTTACGTGGAATGAATTATCATTTATACATCTAGATCCTCGAATAAGATAATATGAACTTGAAGTTCATAAAAGGATAATTCAGTTGCAATATATTGCAAAGCATGCCAGACGCATTTGCTGACCCAAAGAAATTAACTATATTCTCATTGCAAATGCTCCTATTAAGTCCTAGAAGGACAAAGTCTATGGTACGCTTGAAGCGTATAGACAAATTGGTTTCGAATAAACTTCTTGATAAAGAAGATGAGCAAATGATCTAAATGATCATAATAAAGGAGGCAAGTGATCTAGAAGATCACATGACATAACACTTCATAAAATCTCATGAGAGATTCAGGTACCTGAATATATGAATGAAGAGATCTCTACGTTATGTCTTTATGAAAAATAAGGAGGTTGGAACCGATATAAAATGTTTTTCGTCGACATCTATAATAGCGCTAAATATATATGAGGATCTTAAGTCTAGAGAAACAATTCAAATAGAATTGGTTTCATATGAAAGACAGGTACTTTTGAACATGTAGTTCAAACACTTGAAAGTATAAGTCAATGGTATGTGCAACCAGTTTCCGATATCTTATATGTCTAGCATGACATGAAAACTTGATATGCATCTAAAGTCTATTATATGGCTTATATGACTTAACAATCCCTAAAGGATTTAAGTTGCTTGAAGCATATACAATTCTTGATCTTGAAGTACCACTTCCTCAGTGCAATTTGTGCACAAATGTATCTTGCTATAACTATATGCATGATAATATGATAGCAAGAGCTTTCACCTCTATGTGAAGATATTGAACTGACGATTCCAACAATATCATATGAAGACATTACATATCTATCAAGAATGATGATTTCAAGGTGCAATATATTCATTCAAGTTAATATAGCTGATTTGTTCATCAAATCTCTACCAAAGATCTTTTGAAGATGGTGCACAAGATTGGAATGCAAATGCTTAAGGATGTGAATTGATGCTCTCATCAGGGGGAGTTAATACGCGTTGTACTCTTTTCCCTTACAAGGTTTTGTCCCACTGGGTTTTCCTTGCAAGGTTTTTAACGAGGCAACCAAAAGGCGTATTGTTAGATATGTGTACTCTTTTTCCTTTTCTAGATTTTTTCCCACTGGGTTTTATTTTAGTTAAGGTTTTAACGAGGCACATTATCTGTTGAATAGACATTCAAGGGGGAGTATTATAAATAGAATTTTATTTATGGTGAATGTCTATATTTAGAGAGATTCTAGGGTTTATTACTTGGTGGCTAAGTCACTCTCTCCCTATAAATAGAGAGGTTCTATTCCATTGTAATTCATCCAATATCAATAAGAATTCTATCTACCTACTTTGTCTAGCATGACATGAAAACTTGATATGCATCTAATTAAAGTCTACTATATGACTTATACGACAATCCTTGAAGGATTTAAATCGCTTGAAGCATATACAATTCTTGATCTTGAAGTACCACTTCCTCAGTGCAATTTGTGCACAAATGTATCTTGCTATAACTATAGGCATGATAATATAATACCAAGAGTTTTCACCTCTATGTGAAGATATTGAACTGACGATTCCAACAAGATCATATGAAGACAATTCATCTCTATCAAGAATGATGATTTCAAGGTGCAATATATTCATTCAAGTTAATATGCCTGATTTGTTCAGCAAATTTCTACCAAAGATCTTTTGAAGATGGTGCACAAGATTGGAATGCAAATGCTTAAGAATGTGAAGTGATGCTCTCATGAGGGGGAGTTAATACGCGTTGTACTCTTTTCCCCTTACAAGGTTTTGTCCAACGGGTTTTCCTTGCAAGGTTTTTAACGAGGCAACCAAAAGGCGTATTGTTAGATATGTGTACTCTTTTTCCTTTTCTAGAATTTTTTTCCCACTGGGTTTTATTTTAGTTAAGGTTTTAACGAGGCACATTATCTGTTGAATAGACATTCAAGGAGGAGTGTTATAAATAGAATTTTATTTATGGTGAATGTCTATATTTAGAGAGATTCTAGAGTTTATTACTTGGTGGCTAAGTCACCCTCTCCCTATAAATAGAGGGTTCTATTCCATTATAATTCATCCCAAAATCAATAAGAATCTTCTCTCTCTTTTTCTCTGCAATACTCTTCTTCTTCTTTTATTGTTTCATAAGAATTACAGTGTAAAAGTCAAATTATGATAGAATTTACTATAGTTTTATGATCAGACATTAGATAACACAAGGTGTTTACATCAAACTATACTAATACATAACATGTTCTTCACAAGCATGGTTATCACTAAACAATAGCAGTTAATTAATACACATTCTCACTTTAATTTATTACTTAACCATAGTAAATTACTATTGTACTCCCTCCGGTCCACTTCAATTATTTTTTTCGCCGTTTTTACATATATTAAGGAATTCACCCTTTACCATTAAGTAACAATAAAATTGACCATAAAACCTTAATTTGTTCATTGGAACTATAGCAAATACTATCTAAGTTTTTTACTCCAAGGACAACTTTGAAAAAAAGAAGTTAATTCCTTCTTCATATCTGAAAAAATAAAATATTATGGACCACAAAAAAAACCAAAAAACTAATTAAAATGGACCGGAGGAAGTATGATGCAAACACTCGATACAACTAAGTTTTTAACCATAAATATATATCGTTAATTTCTGAAAATTAAATAATCATAAGACTTTAGCTATAGTTTTATAATCAGACACTAGAGCATATAATCCTTGATTTTTCTTAAGATGAAAAAGACCATATTATCCTTGATCAATCAGGTCCGTAAATTTCATAAAGGAACTTTATAGCCGTAGATTGTTTTTTTTATTTTTTTGTAACTTCACTCCTGTAAACCCTAGCTAATGCCCGACTGCTTCCTATATAAACCTAACATACTCCTCTCATCCAGAATACCCAGCGGTTCTGAAGAAACCCTAATTAACAGTGAGCCTCTTTTTTCTCAGTATGTCCATTTCAATGTATTTTTGATATGGGTTTTGAATCTAATGCTTGTTATTTAACTGTGTATATAGCAGAGTAACAATGGCGGTTCCTCTACTGAAGAAGACGATAATCAAGAAAAGGGTGAAGCAATTTAAGAGGCATCAAAGTGATAGGAGAATCACTGTCAAGGTATTATTTTTTCATTTTCTATGACCCCGTTTATGTTTTAAGCTCTATTTGAGTTTATTTGTTCACTAATATTGAAATCTGATGAAAAACGATTGTATTTTGAGGCTTAATTAAGTCTCTACAATTAAATAATCCCTTTTTTAGCTCGATCTGAATCTTATTGTTCAGTAATAGTGAAAAAGACATTTTTTATGTTTTATCATAAATTTGTTTAACTTTGTTATTTTGTGGTGGAAAGGGAAAATGATGATAGTTTATTGTCGCCCCAGTCTAAGTTGCATCCAAAATATTGGATTTGCAAGATGGTGATTGACTTGTTATATCTGATTCTTCCTAATGAGTAATGAATAAGATTAATTTTTTTTATTTGTTTGGGTTAGTTGCTTTTTTTGTTTGATGCTTAGCTTGTTTGGGGAAGATATGTGTATTAAGGTGTGATGATGCTTATCCACCTAACTGTAGAGTTCAATGATGAATTCAAAAGCATGCACTACCATCTGATCTTATAGCATATCTCATCCTTCTTTTAAGGTTTTGGGTTTCTGTTTCCTCTTTGTGCTGTTTTATGATTTGGTTCTAGTATCTAAACTAATCTTGAAATCTCAATATAGAAGATTGGTTTTTTGAGGCGTAATAAAATCTCCCTGTAGGTATTAGTTTGTTACTGTAAAGATATTTATTTGTTATATATATATTGTAAACAACCCTTATTTAGTTTTAGCTTGATCTTACTCTTATTGTTCAGTAATAGCAAAAAAGACTCATTTTTCTTATGTGTTGACATTAGGATAAAGCTTGTTTACCTTGTCCCTTATGGTTATTTTGTTGGTATCTTTTTTTTTTTTTGTCGGAAAGGGAAAATGATGATTGTTATTGTCGCCCCAGTCTTAAGTTGCATCCAAAATATTGGATTTGCAAGGTGGTGATTGACACATCATATCTGATTCTTCCCAAACTATAATGTTAGTGTCTTACATTTGTTTGGTTTTAGCCCTTTTCATTTGATTCTAAGCTTGTTTGTGAAGATATGCGTATTAAGGTGTGATGATGCTTATCCACCTAATCTGTAGATTTCAATGATGAATTCTAAAGCATGCACTACCATCTGATCTTATAATCATATCTCTCCTTTAATGTTTGCAGTTTTTCCTTTCACTTTTGTATTGTTTTGTGGTTTTATTTAAGTTCTTTAATTGTTCCTTAGATGCTGATGCATGCAATCAATGATGAATTATTCCCAAAATTGCTGATTGACTAGTGATTAGTATAAAAATATCACCATCTTTCGGCTGAGGTTGCATCTAGAACAATTCTTGCAGTATCTTTTCTTTCTTTTTTCAAGTTTTCCTTTTGAATGATTTCTTGCCTATGGTATCTAATGTCCAGACTTTACTCCGTTGCTGGATGTTTCGTTTTACGGGCAGAAACTAAACTATAGGACAGGTTGCGACACAGTTGGCTTCCTTATCAATAAGCTTTCTGTTACTTTAAGCCTGCTTACATCTCTATAAGTATTACTTTGAGGCGTAAGAAAATCTCTGTAGTTATTATTTTGTTACAGTAAAGCTATTTATTTTTCTGTATTTTAAGTAACTCTTTTTAGTTTTAGCTTGATCTGACTCTTATTATTCAGTAATAATGAAAAAAACTCATTTTTTTGTGTTGACATTAATATAAGCTTGTTCGTTAGAGATATTTTGTTGGTATCTTTGTTTTTTGTGTCGGAAAGGGAAAATGATGATTTTTATTGTCGCCCCAGTCTTAAGTTGCATCCAAAATATTGGATTTGCAAGGTGGTGATTGACACATCATATCTGATTCTTCCTAAACAATGATGTTAGTATCTTATATTTGGTTGGTTTTAGCTTTATTCATTTGATTCTAAGCTTGTTTGTAGAAGATATGCATATTAAGGTGTGATGATGCTTATCCACCTAATCTGTAGAGTTCAATGATGAATTCTAAAACATGCACTACCATCTGATCTTATAATCATATCTCTCCTTGCAATTTTTTCTTTTTCATCGTTTGGTTTAAGTTCTTAAAGTGTTCCTTAGACGCTGATGCAGTCAAGGATGAATTATTCCAAAATTGCTGATTCACCAGTGATTAGTATAAAAATATCACCATCTTTCGGCTGAGGTTGCATCTAGAACAATTCTTGCAGTATTTTTTTGCTTCTTTTTTCAAGTTATCCTTCAAATTTTCCTATGAATGATTTCTTGCCTATGGTATCTAATGTCCAGTCTTTACTCTGTTGCTGGATGTTTCGTTTTACGGGCAGAAACTAAGCTATAGGACAGGTCTTGCGACACAGTTGGCTTCCTTATCAATAAGCTTTCTGTTACTTTAAGCCTGCTTACATCTCTATAAGTATTATTTTGAGGCATAATAAAATTTCTCTGTAGTTATTATTTTGGTACTGTAAAGCTATTTGTTTTGCTGTATTGTGAGCAACCTTTTTTAGTGTTAGCTTGGTTTTAGCTTTTTTTATTTCATTTTAAGCTTGTTTGTGGAGGATATGCATATTAAGGTGTGATGATGCTTATCCACCTTATCTGTAGAGTTCAATGATGAATTCTAAAACATGCACTACCATCTGATCTTATAATCATATCTCTCCTCTAAGGTTTGTAGTTTTTCCTTTTTCATCTTTATAGTGTTTTGTGGTTTGGTTTAAGTTCTTAAAAAAGTGTTTCTTAGATGCTGATGCAGTCAATGATGAATTATTTCCAACATTCCTGACTGACCCAGTGATTAGTATAAAAATATCACCATCTTTCGGCTGAGATTGCATCTAGAACAATTTCTTGTAGTGTTTTTTGTTTCGTTTTTCAAGTTTTCCTTCAATTTTATTTTAAATAATTTCTTGCCTATGGTATCAAATGTCCAGACTTTATTCTGTTGATGGATGTTTCGTTTTACGGGCAGAAACTAAACTATAGAACAGGTCTTGCGACACAGTTGGCTTCTTTATCAATAAGCTTCCTGTTACTTTAATCCTGCTTACATCTCTTTCATTAAAAAGGCATGTGTACTCATTTAGTGCTCTATTTTATGAACCCTTTTCATCTTGAGTTAAAGTTGACCCTGCAAAATGCAAATGCTAGCTGAAAAAGCTTATAGGTATTTAGTTGTATTCAACACTTCGCTTGACTCAAAGAATTAGTCCTAATTTGGCACTTTGCTAGACACTTGAAGTATGCACTTTGTTACACTTGCTTTAGGGTTACTAATTGAAAATGATTCTTCAATGTAATTTTTACAGACAAATTGGCGCAGACCAAAGGGTATTGACTCCAGAGTCAGGAGAAAGTTCAAGGGATGTGTCTTGATGCCCAACATTGGCTATGGTTCAGACAAGAAGACTCGTCATTATCTTCCTAATGGCTTTAAGAAGTTTGTTGTACACAATGCAAGTGAACTTGATATTTTGTTGATGCACAATAGGTAATGCAAAAGGCAAGATTGTTTTCTTGCACGTAGTTTACACGGTGGTCTCAATCTCAACTGATTGCTCTTTCTTTACAGGACTTACTGTGCAGAGATTGCACATAATGTATCCACCAGGAAGAGGAAGGAGATTGTCGAGCGAGCAGCCCAACTAGATGTTGTAGTAACTAACAAGCTTGCTAGGTTGCGCAGCCAGGAAGATGAATGAGTTCCTGGTTTTAGTTAGTATTGTCAACAGATGTTTGTTGTGCAATCAGATGTTTTCGGAAATGTTGCTAAGTTTTGATGGACCATGTAATTTTGTTAGGCGTTTGTCATACCTTGAGATAATATACAGGGATTTTTATGTGTTTCCATATTATTTTTTTCAAAATGATAAAGCTATGCGATGTTACTTGAGTAGTGGCAGGGGTTCATGATACGTACATACCCCTCCTCGGGGCAATGTTGATGCTGTAGTATCTAACAAGCTTACAGAGAAGCAATTTCGATAGTCTTACTTGAGGCTGAATTCATTTTAATGCGCAACTATACCGCTGCATATGCGCTTTTCACTTGAAGTAGTTTCTGTCATTTGCCAGCTTGCATGAATCACGTTCAGCTTAATAGTTAAAGTTGTATGCATTCTCCTTCACCTTTCTCTCCAAACTAATACCTTGTTTTGGTCCAACTTTTCGGCTTCCAAGTATCAGGGTTGATATTTTGAGACTTGCTTTTTCAAAGGGTTTTCAGACTTGTGCGTGATATACAGAGGTTGGAGAGACATTTTAGATGTGTGTTTAAATCGAATATTTAGAATTGTGAAATGGTGATGAATGTATTAGGCTAGATACATGGACTAAACTATATATTTAAGAAAAGGTTTAATATGGATGTAAATTGCGACGATGGAAACTTGGATAAACGATATAAGAACCTCTGCATAGTCAATCTACTCAAGTTGAGACAAGCGAAAGAGTTATACTTTGTCCACTTGTTTTGAGAGAAACTGAAATGGATTCCTCCCCAATTTTCTTACATATTTATTTTACTTTTTGTAAATAAACTCTTTTATGTTAAGTAAAAACACTTGTTCAAAACAAGTACTTTGACTTGTAGCTATTATTCGGTTCCCCCTAAAAATACTTCTTGGTTTCTTCTGTTTTCAATACAAATCACTATTTGGATAGGATCATATTTGAGACGCTATAACACCTCCACCTTGACCACTTAACCAATGCTCTAGATGAACTGAAAGAGACCTCTTATGAAGCTGATTGTGAAATTGTTAAAGAATTATTTACACATTTGCACTTGTAATTCGAACATACTACATTTTGCAGTTGTTTACACCAAAACATATTATTGTGATCTTCTTCGGGCTCTTATTTCCCTTGGGTCGCCGGATGGAAGGGATTCATTGTTCACTGGACATTCAAAGGGATAATACATAATTATCCCCGGGATTGTCTACCTTTATCAGATGCACCCTTACACTTTGTGGGGGCATTTTGACCCCGTTATATTTGTTAGAAGTATGATAAATAACACCTTCTGTTACTTAGCACAGTCTCAACTAAAATAGTGAATGACACACGCCAATTATAATTTGGCACGTGTATTGCCTTTCTAGTCTCTAAGCCGAGGGTCTCCCGGAAACAGCCTCTCTACCCCTTCGGAGTAGGGGTAAGGTCTGCGTACACTCTACCCTTCCCAGACCCCACTAGTGGGATTATTAATGGGTTGTTGTTTTTGTTAAATTGCCTTTTTAAAACTATATAATTTCCTTTTTATTGCTATTTATTTATTTATTTATTTTTCTCTTTCTTTTTTTATTTTTATTTATTCTTCTCCTCACACCTCCTTCTCCAATTGTTAATTCCTTTCCAGCTTCTTTTTTTCACTTTTACATTTCTTTCTTCTTCTTATTTCACTTTCAGTTTTCTTCCATCTCAACACTTTTGTTTCGCATTCTTAAATTTTTAGCACGTAAGAGTTGGAAATAATATGTTTTGATCATTTTACGCATAAAATCGACCAGCCAAAAGTTGTCAATTTGTGGACGACTCTGTGTTCCGAATATAAAAACCCAATTTGCATGCTCGAGAAGATGAGTCTGTGGCAATATTTTAATGTCCTTTGGACAAGTGTTTTAGCCCTTCTAGAAGATCATGACTAGTGGCAAAAGAAGTTCAAAAAGTGGCAAATGTTCAGCTACGTTTTTGCCATGCAAGAGCCGAGCTTCATGCAATTACAACCATAAATAGGCTCTCACTTGACAAGGAAATAACCATCAGCAAAAATACCATTCCTCTCCTCTCCTTTCACGCCTCCCTTCTTCTTTTGTTGTCCAATATTAAACATTAGTTGTTTCCTTTTACCTACTTGCTAGCTTGGTTTGTAATATTTAATTTTGCTGATTCCTGTATCCTCTAAATAAAATAGAGGTAAGCTTGTTTAATCCTGGAGAAATATTTCACACAGCTGAAATAGTTTCTTAGGACAGTGCCCAGCACGGAGAATGTGACGACCCAAAGGGTCATAACCGGATTTCTCTCTTTTCCGTGTTTTCGAGGCCTTGAAAACCTCATTTTTGCTTGCCTCGATTTGCGTGCGCAGTCCGGGCGCGTAGCCGGAAAGCTTATATGTTAAATTCTATGAAAAATTTCAAAATGTGGCTTTAAAATGATTAAGGTTGACTTTGGTCAACATTTTTGGTAAACGGACCCGGACCCGTGACTTGACGGTCCCGGAGGGTCCGTAGAAAAATATGAGACTCGGGCATATGCCCGGAGTCGAATTTCGAGGTCGAGAGCCCGAGAAATGAATTTTTCTGTGAAATTGTTTTT